TGCTCCCATTGCACCCAGGGGCACCCAGGGCTTTGTGGGGCTGCAAGAGCAGAGCTGCTCCCATTGCACCCATGGGCACCCAGAGCCTTGCAGGAGCTGCAAGAGCAGAGCTGCTCCCATTGCACCCCAAGCTTTGTGGGGCTGCAAGAGCAGAGGGTGCAGGCCCCAGTGCTCCAAGGCAGGTTCTGCCCCAAGCCACACCATCCTCCCGGAGCTCAGGCAGCGCAGCAGAGCTAGAGCAGAGCTGAGGGCAACGCCTCTGCTTTGAGCCGCGCGGGGCTGTGGCAGCGGCTCAGCTCCGGCTGGAAGCAGAAGCAAGGAGAGGCGCGCGCGGGCCGGCCACCCACCTGCGCGCCGCCCGTGATGGGGATGGTGCACGTCAGGAGGTTCCCGATGACGTTCTCCAGGGACACGCTCAGCCCGTCCACGTAGATGGTGTAGATGAGCCCCAGGCTGTTCTGGAGAGGCAAGCAGAGCACGTCTGAGCACCAGGGCAGCCACGCTCAGCGCCGCTGCCAAGGGCCATTGACCACGAGTGGCAGCGTGTCAGGGACGGCGTCACTTCCCTCCAACCGAACCCGCCGGGGGCAGCGCTTGGGCCCTCCCCTGCACAGCCCTGCACCGTCTCTCGTGTATTAACGTGCTCTATTTGCCCCAGCGCTTCCCCATGCTGCAGCGCTGCCGCCCGCGACGTTCCCAGAGGTGCGGGCACTGCAGCGGGCTGGCACCACGCGGGGACAGGCTGCGACGGCTGCCAGGGTGCCCTGCAGGCAGCACGGCCACGCGGCGCCAGCCCCGGGCGCTGCCAGGCGCTGCGGCCTCGTCTCGAGCTGCGCGGGGGGCTCTGCACCGGGGAGGGGCTCCCAGTTCCACGCTGCGACCCGCAGCTCGAGAGCCTGCGCTCGCTGCTGGTGCCCAGCTGCTGAGGGCAACACCGGGCCAGCACTGGAGAAACTAAACTGAAGGGGGAAGACACAGCTGGGTGTCACCCTTTGGCGGGACATGGAAAAGCTCCCGCAAGGCGCAGGGCGAATGGGGAGCTTGGCTCCAAAGCACCTTTCGTGGCTTGTAAAGCTCATCCCCAGGCAAATGAATGCAAGCAGCGTGGCAGCGACTGCAGTGTTGCAGTATGGCAGTGACTGCAGCATCGCAGCGTGGCAGTGACTGCAGTGTTGCAGTGCAGCAGTGGCTGTGGCATCCCAGCATCGCAGCCCTGCAGTGTTGCAGCCCTGCAGCCTTGCAGCGCGGTAGCCCTGCGGTGTCGCAGCACGGCAGCCCCTGCAGCATCGCAGCGCAGCAGTGACTGCGGTGTTGCAGTGACCGTGGCATCGCAGTGTCGCAGCCCTGCAGCATTGCAGCGCAGCAGCTCCTGTAGCGCTGCAGCATGGCAATGACTGCAGCACTGCAGCACAGCAGCCATGCAGCAGTGCTGCAGCAGCCAAGGGGAGGGCAGCGCACGCTGAGGGCACTGCCTGTGCCCGGCACGCAGGGAGCAGGCGGGAGAGCTGGGTCCCCTGCCCCGAGCACCGAGCAGGGCCCCTCGGCAGAGCCCTGGGGCCGCGGGAACCCTCCTGCTCCCATCCTCAGCAAAGGGCATCCAGGCGGCCAGGCAGGATGGGCTATCACGGACCTGCTCGGAAAAGAGAGCCAGAACAAGCCGGGCCGCGTGGAACGGGCCGCGTGCGGAGCCCGAGCTAGCGCCTTCACAGAATCCCAGAATCCCAGAATATTCAAGGTTGGAAGGGACCTCTAGAGATCATCTAGTCCAACCTCCCCGCTCCAGCAGGCACACCCAGAGCACGGGGCACAGGGCGGCATCCAGGCGGGTTTTGAAGACCTCCAGAGCAGGAGACTCCCCAGCCTCCCTGGGCAGCCTGGGCCAGGGCTCTGGCACCCTCACAGTGAAGAAGTTCCTCCTCACCTGGAGATGGAACCTCCTGTGTTTCAGCTTATGGCCATTACCCCTCGTCCTGTCGCTGGCCACCAGTGAAAACAGCCTGTCCCCTTCCTCCCTGCATTCTCCCTTCCTGAACTTATACACATTAATCAGATCCCCTCTGAGCCGTCTCTTCTCCAGAGAAAACAGGCCCAGCTCGCTCAGCCTCTCTTCATACGAGAGATGTTCCATTCCCTTAATCATCCTGGTTGCCCTTCTCTGGACCCTCTCCAGAAGCTCCACGTCCCTCTTGTCCTGGGGAGCCCAGAACTGCACGCAGTACTTCACCCCCATTCCTTCCACCTGAGCAGCTGCTCAATGGGCAGCCCCCTTCTCCTGCCCACCTGCACGTGAAACCAGGGCTCCCTGCTTCCCTCCAGCACCCCGAGCGGGGGCACCACCTGGAATGGATGGAGTGAAGGAACGGTGCAGCTGCCAAGGCCGGAGACCTTCGTCTGGCTTCCTAGTGAGGCTTCTCCTCTCCTGATTGCAGCTAGCTGGGCAATACTGCAAGGGCCAGGGCGATACTGTAAGGCCCAGGGTGCTATCGCAAGGCCCGGGGCAATATCGCAAGGCCCAGCGTGATATCGCAAGGCCCAGCGTGATATCGCAAGGCCTCTAGCACTCTTATCAGGAATCTCCGCAAAGACTCGTGATTCACCAAGCTGAATAACCCGCGCAGCTGAGCAGTGACATCACGCAGGAAGCAGCAGGGCAAACATTACTCAGCCTCCCAGCCGGGAAGAAAGGGTGCTCAGGTACACAGGGGCTGAGAGATGCCGGGAAGCATCTCCGTGACGTCTGCAGGGGAAAACCCTTGCAGGAAATGCGCCGCTTTTACAGCGCTGGTCTATCCACCCGCAATCCAGAGCCTGTGCCCTGCAGCACCGCGGCAGCCTGGCGGGTAACGACGTGGGCCTCCCTGCAGGAGCTCCGGAGAATCCAGAGAATTCCAGCTCTGCAGCAGGCCGGGCACGGCAAACCCCACTCCCTGCAGAGGAAGATGGTCTGAGGCAACTATTTGTGACCAGGGAAGTGGAGGTGATAGTCCACAGCCTTTCCATAGTTAACACTCCTCTCACGCCGGTCCACTGCTCTGTTGTATCTTTACCTGGTTTCCCTATCAGTCCGAATAGGCTCGACCTGGGCTCGGCTTTGCGGGCAAGACCCTTCAAGGGCTCCCTTATGGGCACGCGCAGAACTCTCCGCTTGCAGCGCTGCCGAGTCTCCAGCTCCCAGGCTGCAGCAGCGTCACGGACGCGGCCAACGCGGAGCCAGGCACCCAGCCCGGGGGGATCCAGCAGGATGCCCACACAGCGGGCGCTGCCGCTCGCAGGGCAGGTCCGCGCGCAGGGGCAGGGACACAAGGGACATCCTGGCAGCGGTGGGACAACGGACACGCCGAGCCCCACGGCAACGGGCGCCTTCCTGCAGGCCCAGCGCGGGGCGGGCGGCCCGGGGCACAGAGCGGCGCCAGGAGCAGCGCCCGCCCGCGCCTGGGGACTGTCCCCGCGGCACCCGCTCCGCAGAGCTGCCAGCACGGGCAGCGCTGGGGCCACGGGCGCCCTGCGCCTCCCCAGGGCGCTCGCACGCAGCTGCAGCCAGCCTGGACAATGCCAGGGTGCCAAGGTTAGGAGCAGGCTGTTCTGCGGGGGGCTGTGCCAACAGCCTGGGTGACGGCCCCCAGCGCAAGGAGCGGCTCAGCCCTTGGTGCCGCTTGGCTCGGTGCCACTCCCAAGGCTCCTGTGGCGCTGGGAGCCACGTGGCAGTGCAGGGGGCACCCATGGGTGCTGCTCCCAGCACCAAGGTGCTCCCAGGGTCCGGCTGCCCTGCGTGGCCCTCATCGCAGCTCTGCTTCATGCTATGCACTTACCCGGAACACCTCGGCGTGGTCCAGCCGCGACACCAGCACCAGGCTCTTGGGAGCAAAGAGCTGTGCGGGTTGGATGGGAGACGCTGACTCCTCTTCCTCCTCCTCGCCATCGCCGTTCCTCGAGTGGCTCTGGGGCTGGGGGGAACAGTGCAGCGTGAGCAGAGTGCTGTGCCCGGCACACAGGGCGCCAGGGCCTCACCAGCCTCCAGCAAGGAAGGGGGATCCGCGTCCCGGGCGCGGGCAGAGGGGTGCCGGGTACCACCCGCGCCCGCCTCCTACCTGGGCGCTCTCCACGGCCTCCCAGAAGGTGAAGCAGGCGCAGTAGTGGCGCTCCGAGTTGATGTCGGTGAGCACGGCCACGAAGAAGGTGGGCGGGTTCCTCTCCGGGAAGAGCTGCCAGCCGCTGGGCTGGCAGAACTGCAAGGGCGGCCGTGAGCGAGCGGCGCCTGCCCCTGCCCCTGCCCCTGCCCGGCACCGCGAGGGCCGCGGCGCGCTCACCAAGGCACCACCAGCGCTGCGCCCGGGCACGGCTGCACCCCGGGACCGCGGGGCTCTGCACCCTGGTGCTGTGGCACCCGCGGGGCTCTGCACCTCGGTGCTGCGACACCCACAGGCTCTGCACCCCGGTGCTGCAGCACCCGCGGGGCTCTGCACCCTGGTGCTGCGGCACCCCAGGGCTCTGCACCCCAGTGCTGCGGCACCCGCGGGGCTCTGCACCTCGGTGCTGCGGCACCCCAGGGCTCTGCACCCCAGTGCTGCGGCACCTGCGGGGCTCTGCACCTCGGTGCTGCGACACCCACAGGCTCTGCATCCCGGTGCTGCAGCACCCGCAGGGCTCTGCACCCCAGTGCTGCGGCACCCGCAGGGCTCTGCACCCTGGTGCTGTGGCAGCCGCAGGCTCTGCACCCCGGTGCCGCGGCACCCGTGGGGCTCTGCACCCCAGTGCTGCGACACCCACAGGCTCTGCACCCTGGTGCTGCAGCACCTGCGGGGCTCTGCATCCCGGTGCTGCGACACCCACAGGCTCTGCACCCCGGTGCTGCGGCACCCACAGGCTCTGCACCCCGGTGCTGTGGCACCCGTGGGGCTCTGCACCCCGGTGCTGCAGCACCTGCGGGGCTCTGCACCTCGGTGCTGCGACACCCACAGGCTCTGCACCCCGGTGCTGCGGCACCCACAGGCCTCTGCACCCCAGTGCTGCGGCACCCGCAGGGCTCTGCACCCCGGTGCTGCGACACCCACAGGCTCTGCACCCCGGTGCTGCGGCACCCGTGGGGCTCTGCACCCCGGTGCTGCAGCACCTGCGGGGCTCTGCACCTCGGTGCTGCGACACCCACAGGCTCTGCACCCCGGTGCTGCAGCGCCCGTGGGGCTCTGCACCTCGGTGCTGCAGCGCCCGTGGGGCTCTGCACCTCGGTGCTGCGGCACCCAGGAGGCTCTGCACCCTGGTGCTGCAGCACCTGCGGGCTCTGCACCTCTGCACCCTGGCACGGCGGCACCTGCGGGGCTCTCTCCAAAGGCAGCTCCCTCGTGCCCCGCTCGCTATCACACCTGGCTCCCTTGGCCCTGCTCCCGGCCTGGCACAGGCTGCAGCTCCCTGGCACTACCTCCATGCACGGCACATGTCCCTTCAGTGGTCACAGAGCGCGACAGGCCCTGGGGCACCCTGAGGACCCCCGGGCGCCTTTGGGTGCTCAGTGCCCCTCGGCAGGCACCCCGAGGCAGCGGCCACGCGGGTGCCCGAGCGCTGCCTCATGCAAGCGGGAGCCTGGCAAAGCACAACAGGCCGATTCACCACCCCGCGCGAGCAGCGGGGAGAGCTACCTGCTGCCTGCAGCAACAGCCCCCGGAGCAGCCGGCGGGACCGCGGGCACCGCGAGGGCGACGGGCAGCGGTGCCCACCACCCAAACCAACCTCCAGCCCCGGGCGCCGCAATCCGCACCACCCGTGAGACGAGGACATGAGGAACCGCGGGGTGCTGCTGCCACGGAGGGACACAGGGACACGGGGTGCGGGTTGCCGAAGGAGCGGGGGAATGGCAGGGATACGGGCAGGAGCCAAGGCGGGCAGCAGGCAGGGTGCGTGCGGGGCTCGGGAGGGCGACGCCGTTCCCAGGACACGCTGTCATTCCTGGGACATGCCGCTGTTCCCGGGACACGCTGCCATTCCCAGGACACGCTGCCATTCCTGTGACATGCTGCCATTGCTGGGACACGTTGTCATTCCTGGGACACGCCGCTGTTCCCGGGACACGCTGCCATTCCCAGGACACGCTGCCATTCCTGTGACATGCTGCCATTGCTGGGACACGTTGTCATTCCTGGGACATGCTGCCATTGCCGGGACACATGGCCATTCCCAGGACACGCCACTGTCCCCGGGAAACATCGCCATTCCCAGGAAACGCTGCCATTCCCGGGACACGTCACTGTTCCCAAGACATGCTGCTGTTCCCGGGACACGTTGCCATTCCCAGGACACGCTGCCGTTCCCGGGACACGTTGCCATTCCCGGGGCACACTGCCGTTCCTGGGACACGTTGCCATTCCCGGGGCACACTGCCGTTCCTGGGACACGCTGACGTTCCCAGGACACACCCCTGTCCCCGGGAAACATCGCCATTCCCAGGAAACGTTGCCATTCCTGGGACACGTTGCCATTCCTGGGACACGTTGCCATTCCTGGGACATGTCACCATTCCCGGGACATGTCACCGTTCCCGGGACACACTGACGTTCCAAGGACATGCTGCCATTCCCGGGACTCGCCGCCATTCCCAGGACACGCCGCCATTCCCAGGACTCGCCGCCATTCCCAGGACACGCTGCCCTCCACGTGCCACCAAAACCAGGCCGGGCTGCCGGGCAGAGCCGTGCGCGGGGCCGCGGGCTCCCGATTTCCCAAAGCTCCTAACCCGAGTCCCCCCGGAGAGCCCGGGGCCGCCGCGCTGCTTGCCGGCACAACCAGGTTCCATCGCTTAAATTCCACACATTTTCTGGCTGGACAGCCTGACCCTTGGGGAAAAAGAAAGCGTTCCTGCTTGTTGGAGCAGGGCCCAAGTCCCCTGCAGACTACACGGAAACTCTAAGCAGAAAAATAATAGACACTTCTGCTTCAGACAAAACACAGGGGAGAGAGGAGTGCAAAACGACTGCGTAAATCTGGGTCCCTCAACGAGGGTGCCAGAATAGGGGGGAGACGGAGCGGCCACCCTGGGAGGCACCCCGGCACCGAGACGTCCCTTCCAGGCCTCCCCTCTGGTCACCCCACGCGCTCGCCCGCGGTGCCGGCGCTGCCGCAGCCTCAGCAGCTGCTCGGGGAGCTGCAGCCGCTGCCAGCACTGCAGCCGTGCAGCTACCGGCGCCAGCGGCTCCGCGGGCTGCTGCAACGGAGCCCGCGCGGCCCCGCGGCACGCGCAGGGCCGAGCCACCGCCGAGCGTCTGCTGGGCTGCAAGGGACCCCAGAGCAGCGGAGGGGACCCTGCGGTGTCTGCTGTGCCCTGAGGGCACCCTGTGGTGCCTGCTGTGCCCTGA